TGGTCTTCTTTCGTCTTCAGGATTTACTCTTGAAGTGAAGTTAAATGGTTACATTTTAGCACACGGATTTTACCGTCATTTTTTTAAACAATCATCTTAATATGTATATATAATTATAAAAATTTAATTTCGCCATTATTCACATTTTATTTTAATATTGGACTAACTATATTAAGTCCCAAGTGAAAGTACTACTACCACAGCCAGATYCAAGACGGAGCTMACAGAAATAAACACGTTAAAAGTATGATATTGCAAGAACCGCATAATTTAGAATTTCTAATCTATACAGGATGATTCATGGTCGATGWCGKATTACACGTTTACGGGAACGCGATGCACAATTATGATGAAATGTTCAACTCAATTTGAAGAAATACCTACAACTTCACTAGTTTAAATCAGACAGRCCATGTGCATTATTACACATTTGGATAGGCTCTATGCATTTCATTATTTTTTGTTTMATGCTTTCTATACTTATCTAATGCGGTTTCCGAAAAATTAAATAATTTTAATATTTTTTAATCGACACATAGTCCCAAGAAATCTTGACGTACAACGCGATTTTGATACCTGAAAATATGAAAAAATGGCTCTGAGGTAGAAAAACTGTGCTTGTTTGTTTAAATAATAGTTATAATTTTTTTATGAATAACTCAATTTAATTTCCCTTCCCTTAAAATATTAGACGCATGCTATGTATTCTTTGTAGGATAATCTACAATTAATTTTTCCTCGCTCTCTATGACTCAATAAAATTACAATTACTTTTAATTTTTTTAATAAGAATATGTGGTTTTATTATTTGGAATTGTACTGGATAAAACGCAACTTTACTTTATATTCTACATGCCGAGTCATTGCCCAAGTTAAATATAAAATTTTTACGGATATGGTTTTAAATTTGATGTTATGGTTAACGTTCGAAGTTATGTTGATTTCGATTTTTTTTCAATAACTGATATGCGCGGAAGAAGTATTAGTGGCAGAAACTGATAGCTAATTCACAATGTATCGAATAATAAATTCAACATGACTAGAAGAAAATAGAAATAAAGTGGGTTTTTGCATTTTATATACGGAGGTCAATATTTCACTTCGCTTTTCTTAATAGCTGATCTCTGACGATGGAGAAATAAATGGGCGAAACCTAGGCAATCGAAATATACTAAAAAACTATAAGTTTATTATTTTATTAATTTAATCTAATATTAGTACATTATTTACAGGAATTCTAAGCTCACGTATCTGTTACAATCCAGTCTGGGAGGCAACTCGAAAACGCTCATGATTGTCAACATATCGCCTTTCGTAGAATGTTTTCGAGAAAGTATACAGTCGTTAAGATTTGCAGCCAAAGTAAAAGAGGTGAAGACTGTGATTAAACGTAATAAAACTAACCTGCAATAACTGCAAAACCAATTCATTTTAGTTGCTGTATATTATGTAAAACTGTAAAACGTAATAAGCTTCTCAGTATTGAGCTCGTTACAATGTTTCCCATGTTCCAATTCGTCGAATATGTACTTATTGAACAGTGGCTCTCGAACGTTCAATTCATTCATACTACCTGAAAGTATATCAGTAAAATTAAGTTAACGCTTAGCTCATTCACTATTAAATGAAGAACAATAAATAATAATGTATTTATGTGTAATACACTACAACATCAATGGTCATAAAATCGCGCCCATCTATAAGAAAGAAAAACGTCCATCTAGAACTTAAAAATATAGCGAGTGTCCATAAAGTGAAATGCAAGAAATAGTTCTTCAGTAGAATTAATAGCCGTCCTAACTCCTTCGCCATTCATTCAAGAACAATTATAAGAAGATAATGTAGAAAATACTCCCTAGTATTACTAGAAATTACTGAAAAGTGTCTGCCAAAACAGTAATAAGTAAACACAGGTAAAAAAAAACCGAGCTTAGGCTCCTCCATCTTCAACGTCCTTTTAACCATTTTCGTAAATCAATCACATGGTTTCAGGAAAAACAATTATGATCTTATCAGACTATGAAGGCTTTCACGGCCGGTCAGATTACATTTAG